CTTGGCTCTCTGAGGGTTCTTGGTCACTCAGAGTGGTGGGACTTAGAGGGGCAGGTGGCACCATCTGGCTTCGTGCTCATTCACTCTGCCCCACACAGCGTGACTGGGCCTGCTCACTAAGCAGTACACACCTGGAACACTCTCACCAGGTGTTAGGGCCAGGTAGAGCTCTCTGTGAGGTTGTGTGTGTATGTGTGTGTGTGAGAGAGAGAGAGAAAGAGAGAGAGATGGAGGAATTATACAGAGAGGAATGAGACCCTTTTCTGATCTCAGGACTCTTCACAGGAGGGTAGAAAGATGTCCAAATAACTCTAATTGGGAGTTTTATCAAGACAGGTTACAGAAAAGTCTGGAGGGTCAAGGGGCATTGAAAGAGGTGATCAAATTTCCCTTGGGGTTTGGAGACTTGAAGTTTTGACCCTGGACAAGAGAGTGGATGTGGGGGTGGAAGATAATATCATCTTCAAGGTCCTGTGTGTCTTGACATTCACTGGACCACCTTAGGAGACCACCTTTCCCTACATGACAGTTGCTATGAAGCTCCCCTTCTGTCCAGCCTAGGGGGAGAGTATCTGATTCAGCCCACAGTTGGGGAGAGAGAGGAAGGGCAGTCAAGGTTCCCTCATCCCCTTCCTTCCTCTAGGTGAGGAGATCAGCGTTGTCCCCAATCGGTCTCTGGATGCCAAGCTCTCTCCGGTCATCCTGGGCGTCCAGGGTGGGAGCCAATGCCTGTCGTGTGGGACAGGGCAGGAACCAACCCTGAAACTAGAGGTGGGTCCTGTCGGGGCAGCCTCACCACGTGGCTTCACTAAGTCAAAGATGCTGCTGCTGCTGCTGCTGTGGCTGGGGCCCCTCTCCCTCGCAGCGTTCTGTCGATCGCGGCTCTGCCTCCTTGTGTCCTTCCGCTTGCCCCTGTCCCTCACCTGTCATGCCCTCTGCCGGCAGCCAGTGAACATCATGGAGCTCTACCACAGTGCCGAGAAGTCTAAGAAATTCACCTTCTACCGGCGGGACACGGGGCTCACCTCCAGCTTTGAGTCGGCTGCCTACCCAGGCTGGTTTCTTTGCACGGTGCCTGAAGCTGACCAGCCGCTGCAGATCACCCATCTCCTGAAGGGCACCAGCTGGGACGAGCCCATCACCGACTTCTACTTCCAGCAGTGTGACTAGGGCAACATGTCTCCAGGGCTCCCTGGAAGGCCAGCTCTGGCACGGGCTGGAGGCATAGGAGGACACCCATGGTGATCACTCTGCCTCTGCCCTCATGGCCCCCACTTTTGAGGGCTGGGCATACTGCCACTCTTCCTGCCCTTGTTTCCCAGTTTGGGTAAATCCTTCTGAGATTTGGGGCTTTCTACAGTTTCCTCTTCTGCTGATTGGCACTACTGGGGTGAATCCTTGAAAAAGTCCCATGAAATAAACCTCTAATGAGTCAGGGTCAGGGGAGCGGTGGAAACCTTCCATACTTTTTGATAACTTACCTGGTAGCTTTGAGCCCCACAGGGCAGCACATCTCTAGTTGAGCCTATCAGGGCCACCAGCTGGCCACACGAGGTCCCCACTGTGCAGAAGAGGGAGAGTGGTCATAGAGTTGAGGACTCAGACCCCGCCCCCTTCTCTTTAATTCAGCCACCATCGTATGCTGCCTTTTCCATCTCTACCTTCATGTTTCAGCCATGGATGGGAGAGGGTAGTGGTGTCTGAGGAAGTGGCTCCAACTCAGAAGACGGAAGATGGGCATGTCATACCTTTTGAAACCCAAGGTACAATTAAAATCCAAGATACTGATGTCTCCTCACACAGAAAGATGCTCATGACATATTGAGCAAGAAGAATGAGTTACAAAGTATCATATTTTTTAATTGCAATTTAATGAAAAAAACCTATTTATATATATTTCTGCATGGAAACAAAAGTCTGAAAGAGTTGACTTCCATTTTAGCAATGTCAGGGTAATGCTATTAAAGGTGATTTTTCTTCCCTTCTTTTTATTTATCTGTATTTTCTAATTGTTCTACAATGAAGCTGGAGTGGCTGATGATCCCCAGTTTCTTGGTATTCATGCCCCACCCCTGTGCTTCCTCCCACATTGAATCACAGTTGTTTCCATGACCAATAGAACACAACAGAAGTGATGTTATGTAGCTTGTGAGATTAAGTTATAAAAGACACTATGGCTTCTATCTTGGTCTGTTTCTTTGTTCACTTGCTCTGGGGGAAGCCACCTGCTATGTGTGAGCAGCCCTATAAGGAGACCCAGTGGTGGAAAACGAAGGCTCCTGACAATGGCCACACAAGCGAACTTGACAGTAGCTCCGCCTCCAGCCCAGCTAGGCCTTCAAGTGATGTGCCTCTGATTGACTGTAACCTAGTGAGAGACTGAAGCAGAATCACCCAGCTAAGCTCAGCCCAGGAACTCTGAGAAAATAAGTGTTCCTGCTTTATGTTGTTAAGGTTTGGGGTCAGGTCATTTGTTACCCAGCAATACATGACTAGTACGGAGGGGAAGAGAAATAAATCATTTATTTTATTTTGATTGCAATTTTCTCCAGTACTTTTATTGTCCTGGTCAAAATGAACACCAGTCCCTTTATTTCCCTAAACATCAAACCTGAAAAGCTGATCAGGGACGTCCCTCGTGGTCCAGTGGTTAAGAATCTGCTTTGCAATTCAGGGGACATGGGTTCGATCCCTTAGTTTGGAGAACTAAGATCCCACATGCTGCAGAGAAACTAAGCCCCTGTGCCACAACTACTGGAGCCCAAGTGACACAACTAGAGAGTCTGTGTACTGCAATGGAAGATTCCATGTAACATAACAAAATCCCAAGCGTGGCAACTAAGACCCGACTCAGCCGAGTAAAATAAATATTTTTTTTAAAAAGCTGACCATACTAAATTGGTTGAATATTCTGTTTCCACAAGATTTAGATCTTTCTCAGCTCCCTTTGCACCTTCAGACATATGGGCCAGAGGCTGTGACTCCAGAGTCCCTGACTAAACCATGGGGAATCACAGCAGAAGCCAGAGGAGGGGCCCGAATGGTGGTTCCACGAGTCCCCTCTGCACCTCACCAGTCAGACCAGCCTGGCAGTTTCAGCTGCAGCTGAAGGATCAGCAAGGGAGAGGCCAGGCCAGAAGGTCTGGCTCCAGGGACCTCAGCAGCTCCAGCCCAGAAGCAGCATAAAGCCTCAGGCAGCAGACAGCAAGCTGCTACCACAGGCCTCTCAGGGCCGCTGAGAACAGACTTGGTTCACACTGTCTGCCCATATGCCCAGAAAAGGTCTCATATCATCGACTCCCAGGAGCCCCTGCTGAGCTGAGATCCCTTGTCATCAGCTCTGACAGTGCTTTGTGCTAACTCCCCCTCCTTGGAATCAGTTGACTTGGGATCTGAGGCCCCTGAGATCACCTCAAGGTCAAGTCTGTCCTGGCTTGTTTCCAAGCACCTTGAGTAATGTTTGACAAATTATTGGAATCCAGAGAGTGTCGAATATGGAGACTCTTCCTCCACCCAGAATATTCTTTCACCGTCTTCTACCTGTCGAAATGGACCCACCCTGCAGGGAGCAGCTGAAATTCTACCTCATTCTTGAAGCTTTCTCCAGCTTCAAGTGTGATTGCTGTATCACTTGTAGGCTGATAGAATTCAAAAGGACTTTAGCAGGGATGAGCTGACAGGAGTAGTGAAAGAGGAGGAATTATATAAAGGGCGAAAGCCCTTTCAATTCTAGGAATTTATCTTTCTACTCAAGGAGGTTCTCCCCTCTATTGTGTTCAGTATCCCCTGGGCTCAGAGATTAGAGAGTCTGGTCTTTTCAAGTATTTATGACTTAGCTCCCCAGTCAGACTGTAAAGCTACTTAATAACAGGGACCATGTCTTAGATGCCTCTGTTACAGGTCTTGTGAATGCTCAGTGAGCACTGATTGGTTGCCTGGAACAATACCCTGTGCTTTGAACTTTTCCATTGAGGGGACAAGAGATTGGGAGAAGGGGTGAAGAATGACTATTGACCTTAAAAAACAGATATCTGTTTCCACCTTTGCCCATCTTTTTTCATTGCTCACTCTGCAGACATCTGGGTATAGGACTGACCTCTCCCATGTCCTCACCGAGCTCTTTATGGAACTTTGCAAATGACCCATGAGGGAGAATTACAATAAAGCAGTTGGTCCCCAGAGAATACTATGCCTAAGTGTCTCTGCCCCTTGTAAGTAGGTGGATGAATGGGTGGATGGATGTGTAGACATTCTGATGGATGGATGGATGGATGGGTAGATGGACAGATGGATGGGTGGATGGGTAGATGAACTGATGGATTGATGGATGGATGGACATATGAGTGGATGGATGGACAGATGACTGGATGGATGGACTGAATTAAGCAACGTCAATCAGAAGTCCAAGTGTTCTTCATCTCTGTCCTACTCACACTGTCATATGCCCTTGTAGTCTAGGGCACACGGCACCTGCTCAATCCCAGGATAAATCTAAGGTCAGTGTCTTCTGACTGTAGTGGATTTCCTTAGACATTCATCTCATCAAGCTGGTGCCAACTAATAGAGTCTGTTGAAAAACAAAGACATCCCTTTCATCTTCCCCAACAGGGGCTATTCACAATATCAACAACCCCCATTTTCACATTGCCTTGATGGCCACAGCCTGGCCACGGACAAAAATCTGTCCTTAGGCCCTTCAGACACACTCACTCTTGCCTCTTCTGCTTCCCTAAGACTAGATGGAGCTCCATGGGCACCAAAGGGATGGTGATATGAAGATGTCTGACCCCAGCATCATTTATCTGGCTGTCAAAACCACCAATATCAGTATTAACGACAGTAGCTTCGAGCAGGGTCCCAGCACCTGACTTCTGCAAAAGGCTTTATGGGCGACTCTCTCCCCTTTAAAAAATATTCATTAGTGTTCCCACCTTCTTATTATCTAGACTGTGCCAAAGACCTTGTGAAATCCCAGCGCCTTTCTTCCCCATCCTGGAGCCAATTATAAACATTGCTACAGGCTGTCCCACCCTGATCAGGCAATATAAACTCAGTGTAGACAGCCTGGAGAAATCAAGTGGAGGTTCCAGGCACCCAGGATTTGCAGGTCAGTGGTAGAAGGCAGTGTTTTCTCTTTTTATCTTTTCTTTTCCCTCTGTCAATATCTCTGATAGGCTACCTCCCTTTGATTTCTCCTGGAAAGCTCTCTAGTTAGCAAGGTATCCTTTACATAGATATAGGATGCTAAATAAGTCTAGGGGCACATAGAAAGAATTTGAGGAGAAAGTATAGCTAAGTCATGTTAAAGTTTTTAAATGTTTAGGACAAAAGAATTTAAATAAAATTTTAAATACTTTTTAATTTATTTGGCTGCATTGGATCTTTCGTTGCAGCACGAAGGATCTTTCGTTGTGGCATACGGACTCTCTAGTTGTGGCTCAAGTGTTTAGCTGCTCTGCCCCTTGTGGGATCTTAGTTCCCTGATTGGGGTCAAACTCATGTCCCCTGCATTGCAAGGCAGATTGTTAATCACTCGACCACCAGGGAAGTCCTCAAGGAGCACAGATTTTAGAAAGTAATTTCAGAAGAAATCATTGAGGCCAGTGGTACCCAGCAATGTTTGATGAAGCTTGATTTTCTTTAGGGATGCCCCAGTGCCTTGAGAGGGGGCAGTGTAATTAATAATTTTTTTAATTTTTAAAAATTAAAAAAATTAAATTTTACTGTTGATTTACAGGCTTCCCTGGTGGCTTAGCAAGTAAAGAACCTACCTGCAATTCAGGAAACTTGGGTTTGATCCCTGGGTCATGAAAATCCCCTGAAGGAGGGCATGACAACCCACTCTGGTATTCTTGCCTGGGAAATCCTGTGGACAGAGGAACCTGGTAGGCTATAGTCCATGGGGTCGCAAAGAGTTGGACACAACTATAGTGACTGAGTGTGTGTGCATGCATGCATAGTTGGTTTACATTGTCGTGTTAGTTTTTGCTATGGAGCAAAGTGAATCAGTTATATATGCATGCATGTTAAGTCACTTCAGTCGTGTCCAACTCTGCGGGATGCTATGGACAGAAGCCCACCAGGTTCCTCTGTCCACAGGATTCTCTAGGCAAGAATAGTGGAGTGGGTTGCCATTTCCTTCTTCCACATTTCCCTAAGGAGGGGAAATTTCCCAGCCACCCAAGACCAGGCCCTGGCCTCACCAGCCAGTCAGCACCTTGTACAAACAAGTGAGACCTGTTTCATAAGACATTTCTTTCAACTCAGGAGGCACCAAAGAATTGGGGTCAGCAGCTTGGCATGCTGAGAGAAACATCAGGCTCCCCCAAGAGGTAGCCAGGGAGGCAAGGGCCAAGGAAGAGTCCATTCTTTACTGGCATCCACACAGACACACCCTTGTTATTTAGAACAATCAAAGTTTCCAGTGTAAAAACCTGTGGGCTTATTGCAGCTACCCCACTGATGATTTATCTTTTTCTATCCATCAGACCTGCCGTGAGGGCATGGTTTGTTAATTAATTTGTTTATTTCCAAGGATCTCAGACTCACAGATCCTTCTAGGCATACAGAGAGAATATCTATTAACACAGTGAAATTGAAAGTCGCTCACTCTTGTCTGACTTTTTGCAACTGCATGGACTGTAACCCACCAGGCTCCTCTGTCCATAGAATTCTCCAGGCAGGAACCACTCCAGGAGTGGGTAGCCATTCCCTTAGTTGTTTAGTTGCTCAGTCATGTCCAACTCTTTAAGACTCCATAGACTTAGCCTACCAGCCTTCTCTGTCCATAGAATTTCCCAGGCAAGAATACTGGAGTGGGTTGCCATTTCCTTCTCCAGATATACAAATATATCCACTCTTTTTTCAGATTCTTTTCCCATTTAGGTCATTACAGAATATTGTGTAGAGCTCCCTGTGCTATACAATAGGGTCTTATTAGTTATCTATTTTATATAGAGTAGAGTGTGTGGTTACCAAGGGGAAAGGTGGAGTGAGGGATAAATTGGGAAGTTGAGATTGACATATACACCCAGTGCCTGCTTCAGTGGTCAATGCTAACTGGGTTCCCATATCTCCATTTCTCTCTGATTCTGCTAAACAGATACCTTTTATCCATCTAATTTTCCTTAGGTTCCCATGAAAACTTTTCTTTGAAACTTAAAATAGTTTTGAAAAATACTGATCTTGCCTAGCCTCTCATTCTAATGATAAGAAATTGGAGGCCTAGGGACAAAAGGGGACTTTCCAAGGTGGCGAAACAAATTTGTAATAGAGTCAGGTCTAGAACCAACCTTCCATTTAAATCTGCGGTATGTGTTTCTATGTCCTACTTGTAAGCATGGATGTATCTCAGTTGGGGAAGGTGGACAGAGCTACAAGCCACATTTCAAGAGCCTGTTCAATTTAAAAAGGGAAATAAATGTCTACATATAAAACAATAAATAACACAATGAAACTTCATGGGAGTTCAGAGTAGGATTGCAATGGTAAAGAAAATAGTCTTTAGACACTGAATCATAAAATCACTGATAGTTTGATCTGGAAAGAATTTTAATAACCACATACTCTAATACCATGATTTATAGATGCTGAAACTGAAGATTAGAGGTTAAGTGACATGACCTTGTATATCTGAGCTGATAATTAACTTGGCAGAACTAGATACTCAACTATAGATAATAATACCATGTCCAGTGACCTTAATGCCAAAAGATCTAAATGGACAACAATAGGATGGGATGACTTTGGAGGTAGGGAAATCAAAGATAACTTTGAGAATACCTATGAGAAAAATAAGAAAGATGTCTCATTGCCTGGGAGGTGGTTTAGTGTCCATAGAGAAGTGAGATACACCTAGAAAAGTGTATCATATGGTGGGAAACCACTGTAGACTAGAGTGGGGTGGGGATGTGATGAAAGCAGTACTTAGAATACAAGTCCAGAAACCTCAGATAGGTTGGGCTGTACTGAAGGTGGAGAAACCAGGAATATAGTCACAATTCTAATGGCTATGAAGAAAACAAAGGTTATATTTTAAAGACATACTTTATTGGAGCTTGTTGATAAATCTGTCATAGAGTCAAGAAAGTAGGAGAAATTGTCAACAGTTCTCAGGTTTTGAATCTCACTATCTAGAGGAATATTATGGCAGCAAGAGAAATGATACTGGGAGGGATAAATGGACTTGGAGGAGGAGATGAATTTGACCTTAGATGCATTTGGTTGAGAATGATGGCAGGATATCCAGAGGGTGGTATCCTGGAGGCTGCTGGAGATAAAGGAGGGTGTTCAAACTGGGCCTGGGAGGCATCAGAGAAAGATGATCATTGCATCTGTGGAAATGGATGGATTGTAGCTCCATGGGATATGAAAGGGAAGATCTTAGGATGTTGGCTTGTGATTTCAAGGTTTAGGGATGACCCTTGCAAAAAGGGAAGAATTCGCAATGGACCTGAGCAGAGAATGGAGAGGTGTGAATCAATATCAAGGGATCCAAGGGAGGCAGTTGCCAAAGATCTGACAAATCAGAAAAGTCATTTGGCTTGACTCTACGGAAGTTAATATTGGTCTTGGAGGGAACAGATTCGACGAAGACTGTGTGTAGGAGGATGAAGGAGAGGGTGAGATCAATGTGAGTGTGATGTGCAAAAGAGCTTGAGGGAGTTCAGGGATATTTTTTGGTGATATTGGGTCCACGACAGGTGAATTGATGGGAACTGAGATAGCCAAAGATGGTATCCAGAGAGGGCTATAGCCTAACGTCCAGTGAAAGGTCACTTGGAGACAATTGGGAAGGGAAAGTTTTGGGGAGTATGTGGTACTTTGGGAAGGACTATGGCAGATGCTCCACACCAGGAACCCAGGCTCTCTGATAAACTAGAAGATGGCCTCTCATTCCTACTCACTTCTATATATCACAATCTATACCAAGACCCCAAGCAGAGATTCCTGATTTGGGGATCTTTAGGAGAGACACAGGTTTGAGGCCAGACCAGGAAAAGAGGCTTCTAGAGTCCCAGAGATCCTGCTGGACTGGACCATTCTTGAATTTCTGTTGGCTCTGAGTTGACACTGACCAAGAGGGGGAGTCATCAGCCTGTCTGTCTGGCCTCACGCTTCGCCCTCTACTTGGTCTGCCCCAGCCAGCCCTTGGCATAGCACCAGGTTGCCCATATTTCTGCGCTCCAAACAAAGTTTCTCCAATAGTTTGGCTGAGAGTGAGTGCAGCATCAAGTGGGTTTGCATCAAGGCCATGCTGCTGTCAGCCTATAAGGGCTGGAGGATCATCTGTCCTTTGATACTTAAAGCATCGCCCAGCATTAATACCATTTGGTTGCACGTTTGAAATGCAGAGTGTTAGGTCACCCCAGACCTAGGGAATCAGAATCTGTATTTTAACAAGAGCTGCAGGTGACTTATGTGTTCATTCAAGAGTGAGAAGAACTGAACTCATGTACCATTTCCCCAGCCCAGTTGATCACTAAGTCACTTCAGGAAACTTCAGTCCAGGAAACAGTACTTCTCAAGAGTCCTCCAAGTAATTCAATGGGCAGGCACATTCTGGAAAACTAATGACTTGGATTGAATACTTCATTTTTTTAAAAATTGAAACTTAGCATATACTTCCCCCATTCCAGTATTCTTGCCTTGAGAATTCCATGGACAGAGGAGACCGACGGGCTACAGTCCATGGGGCTGCAAAGAGTTGGACATTATTGAGCAACTTTCGTTCATTCATTCATTCACAAAGGAAATTCATATTCATATAAAGAAAAATGTTGAAATGCTAAAATTAAATAAAAATCACCCATAATCATATCAGCCATAGATATGTGCTGTAAAATATTGATCATCTTTGTTTCTATGTATTTGGGTAGATTTAAATGGAAACATAATGCACATATTATTTATAACCCGCACTTTTCACTTTGTATTTTGAACATTTATATATCATAAAATGTTTTTCCACAGCATTGTCTTTCATGTACACATACTTTCTTATTTACCATAATTTTTGTTGCTATTGAGTCGCTAAATTGTGTCCAACTCTTTTTGATCCCATGGACTGTAGCCTGCCAGTCTCCTCTGTCCATGGGATTTCCCAAACAAGAATATTGGAATGGGTTGCCATTTCCTTCTCCAGGGGATCTTACCAACCCAGGGATTGAACCCATGTCTCCTGTGTTCTAGGCAGATTCTTTATCACTGAGCCTCCACATTCTTATTTACCATTTTTACCAGTCACCTATTATGGGCAGATAGATTATTTCCAATTTCTTGCTATTATAAAATATGATGACATGAACATCTTTATTATTAAATACTTGGGCAATTCATTATTTTTCCCTTAGAATATGGAAAACAGATGAAATTACAAAGTACACAGAATGCCTCAAACCTTGATTCACATCACCAACATCTATCCAGAATTTGTACTCCTGTTGGTGTCCCATGATCCTTTGTCCTCACCAACACTCAAACTCTCACTGCAAAGCTGAGGGAGAGGAAATGACTTGTTCAAGGTGATCAAGTGGCAGATCCTGTACTAAAAGGCACCTTGACTACAGCCATCCTTCTAACATCCAGGCCAGGAGCTCAGGGAGGATGAGATGGTTGGAAGTCCTGCCATCTGCAGGACTTCCATCTTGTAGATTCCCAAAATGTTGCTCAGTATCACCCTCTCCCTCTTTGAGCCCTGCCTCTTCATTTCTAACTTTCTCCCATTTCCTCTACATTTTTGCTTTCTTTCCTCTTCTCTTCTCTTTCCCTTCTTCCTTGGTGAGAGAATCATATGTATTCTTTAGCCTCAGCCCTAGCCATCCTTGTATTTACTTTTCTGGACTCTTCTCCAACTCCTCCCAGCCTCATGCCCTGATTGGTTCTGGGTTTCTTTCTGTGCTGGATTGAAAGTGGTAATTTCAGGGAAAAGCTCTAGGGACAGATGATCCAACTGGGAGGAGCAGAGCTGTGTGAAGCCCTGTGGTCTGGAATCTGTATAGAGGTCACTGGCTTCAGTTTTTGGACCATTTCTCCCCCAGAACACAAGTCTGCGTCTCATATGTGTGCTGTTTTCCATCTGGAATAGAATGGGGGAGTTTGGATAACCTCTGGTAGGTCACAGTCTTGGCAAAGCATCCCCCAGAACAATGCTCTCTAACTGCAGAGAGATCCTGCCCACCCCTGGTGCAGGCTGGAGGTCCTTCCTAGTAGTGCTGCCCAGAGGAAGTCAGGATGGTGTCTCTAAGGCCAGGCTGGGGAGTGGGACAGGGTCAGGGTCAAAACCAGGTTCTTCCTCAAACTGTGAGGCTGGAGCCCACCCACCCCCATCTAAACCCCGGGGAATGTCTCTTGGCTGAACTCTTTGGGGGTACCTTCCATCCTGTTTCCCAGAGCTGGCCTCAGGTCATGGCTCATACCCCTGCCCGCTCGGCTAGGTGTGTTCCTGGATGGCCTCAAAGGAGGGCGATTCAGAGGGCCTGGAACTGGCTAGGCTGGGGGCACCTTGGTGGACTCTGAGGCCAGTGATAGACAAGTCCCTGGTGAGAACTTTCTACCTTGTGATGGGGTGATTTAGGGCCCTTGGGGTATCTGTTCCCCAGCTCTACCACCCTCCTTTTTCTTTTCTTTTTTTTGAATTGCAGTCATTCTTTTTAAAAAATTTTAATTGAATTATAGTTGATTTACAATACTGTGTTAGGTTAAGGTGCCCAGAAAGTAATTCAGTTATACATAGATAGATAGATGGATAGATAGACAGTTAGATGGGTTTCCCCTGGTGGTGCAATGGTAAAGAATCTGCCTGCTAAGCAGGAGACATGGATTTAATCCCTGAGTCAGGAAGATCCCTTGGAGGAGGAAATGGCAACTGACTTCACTATTCTTGCCTGGGAAATCCCATGGACAGAGGAGCCTGGTGGACTACATACAGTTCATGGAGTCACAAAGAGTCAGACAAGACTTAGTGACTAAACCGCAACAACAGCAACACTATATATGTACAATTATCTATGTTATACAGTAGGTCCTTATTAGTTATCTATTTTGTATGTAGTTGTGTATATATTTTAATCCCCAGCTCTTTATTTATGCCTTTCATTTCCCCTTTGGTAACCATAAGCTTGTTTTCTATGTTTGTAAATCTCTTTCTGTTTTGTAAATAAGTTCATTTGTATCATTTTTTAAGATGCAACAGATAAGCAATATTTTATATGATATTTGTCTTTCTCTGTCTGACTTACTTCACTTAGTATGATAATATCTAGGTCCATCCACATTGCTGTAAATGTCATTATTTCATTCTTTTTTATGACAGGATATGATTCTGCTGTGTATATGTACATCTTCTTTATCCATTCATACTCTGACAGCCCTTTTCCCCCCCTTTCAGCAAGGACCAGTAACCCCTGCTTGCAAGAATGTGCTCCCTCCCCATGGCAAAATACTACATGTAAGTCTTCCTGGAGTCTACCTTTCCTAATCAGGGATCTGGGGATGACAGAGGAAGAAGAAAAGAAGGCTGAGTCAGAGGAATGAAGTTCCCTCTCACCCAGAAAGCTCAAGTGCCCCATAATTAAGGCACTTATTGTAATTACAGGAGCTTTCTTCCCTGAGCTTCTGCAAGAAGCCAGCCATTCTACTGCCTTGCCTTCATCCTGAGAAATCTCCAAGGGAGTGTTATTAAACCCATTTTATAGATTTGAAAACTGAGTCTCAAAAAGGTTATTAAGTACCTGATGTCACACAGGATTAGGACTCAGACTCACATTCTCTGCTGCTTCAGCCTCCGCTCTCTAAAAGCTCAGAGATAATTTTGGATCTTAATGATAGCATCTTTATATGTTAACCTCTGTGGTTTTTACTCCCATTCTGAGCTTCTAACTCTTACTTTTATCTCATTTGATATTTGAGTCTTTGCTTTTCATTTACCACTTTATTATCTGTGTTTTTTGTTGTAAACCATCTCCAGCCCTTCAAGAAATGAGTTTGGGCATAATAAAAATAAAATAAGGTTAACACCTGGGATACATTCCCTCAGCTTCTCCATGAGTGAGTATTAGTCGCTCAATTGTGCCTGACTCTTTGCGATTTAGTCCCTCCCCATGGACTGTAGCCCGTCAGGCTCCTCTGTCCATGGAATTCTCCAGGCAAGAATACTCGGAGTGGGTAGCCATTCCCTTCTTCAGGGGATCTTCTTGACCCAAGGATTGAACCAGTTCTCTTGCGTTGGTAGGTGGGTCCTTTACCACTAACGCCACCTGGGAAGATTGTCCTTTCTGTGGCCCCATCCTATCCTAGATATGGGGGATTGGTCAGGGCCTCCAGGAATTTACAGCATGGCTGAGAAGGCAAGACACATGTGCATGGAGCCTGCAAATGACAAAACAGGATGTCAGGTCTCTGGGGTCTCTAGCCTGGGTTCGGTCCCTGAACAGAATGTGGCTGGCAGTTCCTGGTGGTTGAGGTTGGAGGGAGGCAGCTAGCTGCCAAAACAGGTTCTTTTCAGATCTTCATTTTTATTATACAAGGGAACCTGCTTTAAACACATACAGTCATGAGCTCAGGGTATTATAATTAGCTAGTACTAAGAAAGAAGAATCCCCTAGAGGTAGTGGTGTTGGCCCAGAGGTTCTGCCCTTGAAGATAAGGAGCATCCCCAGGCCCGAGAGCAACTGATGGCCATCTCTGAAACCAGCCAGCAATGGGTTAACCTTGTGGGCATGGCTTTGGTCTGCACAGACTCACCCTGTTTCCTTCTCAGCTTCCCTGCCGGTGTTTACCCTCCCACACTGATCATTAGCACCACTGCCAACCCCACTGCCAGTCATCCGGGCCCTGCTCTGACTCTCTGCTGACTATCCGTATTTGGTACACCCAAAGTGGCCTACTCCCACCCATCCCCCACCCCCCACCCCTTATATACTTGCGTGCTGGAGGGCTGGAGGGTCAGGAAAACTCTGTACACCTCAGTGAGAAGACCCTGGCTCCCATCACTGCCCTGAGGGCTTGACAGGGGCCAAGCTCGGTAAAGACAGAGATGCAGTCTCTGAAAAATGCCCAGCCCCAGGAGGACTTTCCTATAGCCTATGGCTAACCTGGTCTTGACCTACTTTTGGATGGAGTAGCATCCCTATTTCTCACCTGCAGGATGTTGGGGCAGTCTACGTGTGGGGTGGGAAAGAATTTCCAGACAAAGAGCATCTTAGAAGGGAGTCAGTTTATTAAGAACAAAGAGCAGAGATAATGAGGACACTGCGAGTGCAGTGGGCTGACCTCCTGACAGACCAGGGAGAGATAGTTTTCCTGAGTTAATAGCTGATTCTTATAGCCTCAGGACAAAGACAATCCCCGCTGGAAGGATAGTGTTGGGTGATTGGTTGGGGTGTTATGGGGTGTTTACTGGAGCAGGCATCTTTGCTTCATTGGGAGTCAGGAAGCTTGTTAGCGATGATCAGGGGGGCTTTTGGGAATGGTTACAAAGGGGCTCAGTCAGCTTTGCAGGTGATCCTGGTTCTAGGTTCTGCTTCTGTGGCAGTGGCACAAGGCCTCACACCCATGCTGGGGCAGGACTCAACACAGAACTGCCAATGAGCAGGTCGTTCAGAGCCTGGGGTGGAAGGGCTGTGGGGTCCGGGGTGTCTGAAGGGGGCGGCAGTCAGCATTGATTCCTGTTCCAGAATTAAGGATGCAGAGCAGAAGGCTCTGTACATGAGAGATGGCCAGTTCCTGGTGGGAGATCCCGATGCAGACGACTGTCATGCAGGTGAGCATCTGGGGCCTTGACCTCCTGGGACTCACACAAACTCCATCTTCCCCAGGCTCTCCTTCCCCTTCTGTTTCCAGTGACAGTAAGAATTGAGGCAGGGAGAGCTCTCCCAGTGAGGGATCAGGGCCCTGATGGGAGTCCCAGCCTGCATGCAGGGCCCAGATCAGCTGTCCCCTGGCCCAGTTCCTTCCTGCCCAAGCTTTAGCTCACTCAAGAGCTTACAATCTGGGGTCCTCTCATCACCTGGCTCTCCTCTCTTCTTCCCTCCCAGAGACCATCTGCATACTCCCCAACAGAGGCCTGGAACGCACCAAGTTCCCCATCTTCTTGGGGGTCCAGGGAGGTAGCCGTTGCCTGGCATGTGTGGAGACAGGGGAGGGGCCTTCCCTGCAGCTGGAGGTGAGCCATCACACCCTGTATGGGGGGCCCCTACAGACCTCCAGGGTGCTCTGGCATCTCTATGCTCATCTGTGGTCCAGCAAGTTTCACATGTCCCTCTTGTTTGGATTTCCACCATCTCCCTCTGCACCCAGTGCCCAGATCCTTCCCTTTAGAACCTGCAGAGGGAATTTCCCTGGGGAAAGACTCACCTTTTGGTTCCCTCATTGGCCAAGCCCCAGAAGCCTTGAGGGCTGACAGTCAGCTGCCCCATCCAGCCTCCTCTGCCTTGCTCCCACAGGATGTGAACATCGAGGACCTGTACAAGGGCGGAGAAGAGGCCACCCGCTTCACCTTCTTCCAGAGAAGCTCGGGCCCTGCTTTCAGGCTCGAGGCTGCTGCCTGGCCTGGCTGGTTCCTCTCTAGCTCCTCTGAACCCCATCAGCCCATGCGACTTAGTAAGGAGAGTGAGCCCTCAGCCCGCACTGAGTTCTACTTTGAACAGAGTCGGTAGGGAGGCAGGAAGCTGGGTTCTGGCCTGGTGCTCCCAAACCAAGCTCATCCTACTGAGGGTTGAGCAGAATAATGGCCCCCTCAAAGAACTCCACATCCTGATCTCCAGAACCTGTGAATATGTTACCTTACCTGGCAAAAAAAGGGACTTTGCAAATGTGATTAAGTGAAGGCTAATCCATCCTGGGTTATCCCAGTGGACCCTTCATGATTAATCATCAGGGTCCTCATATGAGGGAGGCAGGAGGGTGAGAGTAAGAAAGAGAATGGAAGATGCAATGCTGCTAACTTTGAAGATGGAGGAAGGGGCTGTGAGCCAACGAATGCAGGTGGTTCCTAGAAGCTGAAAAAGGGCAGGGGATGCATTCTCCCCTACAGCTTCTAGAAGAAACACAGCCCTGCCAACTTGATTTTAGTCCAGTGAAGCCCATTTCAGACTTCTGACCTCCAGAATTGTAAGAAAATAAATGTGTCTTGTTCTAAGTCGTTATGTTTGTGGTAATTTGTTACAGTAGCTGTAGGCAACTAACACAGGGCCTTCATGGTCCTCTATGTGCAGCATTTAATGCAAAGGGACTGGGTGATTTGGTGAGTCCTTCTTGGAAGCCTGATCATGGTTTCTTCTCTGGTTCCTCTGCTCTGGAGCTTCTAGAAATAACCAAGAAACTCCAGGCAGAATCCAACTCCCCTCCTCTGTCTATGGATAATGCCTTGGGCTGTTTACATTCTCAGCTGTGTTAATAGTTCAGGTCACAATTTTTCTACCAGACACTTCACAATGAATCAGTCTCCTAACTGATGGACCAGTACTGTTGATTGTCTGCTAGTTTTGATCTGTGAGGACCAAGGGGAACAGTTATGAGGAGGCAGTGGGTTTGGACTGGATGTACTGAGTTTAAGGTTACCGTGGAACTGATGAGTTGACTGGTTATAGTTGGGAAACAGAGATGGATCTCACCTGAGAGTTTGTAGTTAGGACTGTTTCACATCCTTGGAGCCCTCTCCATTGCATAGAGGTTAGGCTCCATGGTTAGGCTCAAGTTAGATCAAGGAGCCTGCCGTATCAAGATTCAGAGGAGTGGGCCGCTGGTACTCTTCTCATTTCATACAACCACTCAGCATCTGGCCAACCTGTACTGTGAGTCAGGACATTTAAGAAGAGTGTGTCTCAGGGACTTCCCTGGTGGTGCAGTGGATAAGAATCCACTTGCCAATGCAGGGGACACAGGTTCTATCCGTGCTCCAGGAAGATCCCACGTGCCACAGAGCAACTAAGCCCATATGCTGCAACTACTGAGCCCATGCTCTGAAGTTCACAGGCTACGACCTCTGAGCTTGTGTGCAGCAACTACTGAAGCCCGTGGGCCTTAGAGCCCACGTGCCACAACTACTGAGGCCTGTGAACCAGCCTGTGTTCCACAACAAGAGAAACCACCACAATGAGAAACATGAGAACTGTAATGAAGTATGCTGCTCACTGCAACTAGAGAAAGCCCGCACAAAGCAACAAAGACCTGTCTTCACTCTCACAATGATCCTGCAAGGCAAGTATTCGTACCTGCATTTGACAGGTAAAGAGACTGGACTAACAGAAGTGACATACTTAACTTGTTGTACGTCACATAGGCTGTACATGTACACCTGGTCCGTTTGACCCCAACCTTGTTCCACAAATTTTTATTCCACTCTTATTCTAGGAGCAACAAAACTAAGTTTCCTTGGAGCTGATAATTGAGTGGGAGCAATACTAAACTAGCAAATACACAAGCAAGAAGACAGACAAGGGCAGTTTGCATGAGAGAGGGTGAAGGCAGTAGGTATTCAATGGTAACATTAGAGAGGGCAGTCAGGGGAGGTGACTCTGACTTTTTGGAGGAGGTGACATTTGAGCTGATGCTGAAGGATAGGAAGCAGTGGGAGCAGGAAGGGATGCAGGAGACAAATAGAAAACACACAGCCCTGAGACAGAAGGGGCTCAGTGTGTCCAAATAGTAGTGGAAGGCTGGGGGCACTGCATCCTGGAGAGAGGGTTAAGAGGTGGACAAGACCAGCAGGGGACTGGATCATGGAGGGATCTTGAAGGCAAATAAGTGTTTTCACTTATTTTTAAGTGCCAAGGGATGCTATGGGAAGCTTTTAAGCAGAAGAGAGACATGCCAGACCTTGTGGCCCTAATAAATTTATATTCTTTCCCTGCATATTCCTCATTACTTGTCACCTGGCTATCATACCATAACTATGTATCTTTTTAATTAATTAATTATTTTGTAGTTTGGATGTGGTGGGTCTTCACTGCTGCAGGAAGGCTTTCTCTAGTTGTGGTTAGTGCGGGCTACTCTTTGTTGTGGTGCGCAGGCTTCTCACTTCAGCGGCTTCTTTTATTGCAGAACATGGGCTCTTGGTGCACGAGCTTCAGTAGTTGCTGCACATGGGCTCAGTAGTTTTGACTCGTGGGCTCTAGAGCACAGGTTCAGTAGTTGTGGCACACGGGCATAGTCGCTCTGCAGCATGTGGGATCTTCCTGAATCAGGGATCAAAGTAGTGTCCCTTGTATTGTAAGGCAGATTCGTAACCACTGGGCCACCGGGGAAGCCCCACAACTATGTATTTATGTGCTGGGACTACTCTGTGCTTTTTGAGGGTGTGTTCTGTTCAATTATAGGCTTCCCAGGTGGTGCTAGTGGTAAAGAACCAGCCTGCCAATGCAGGAGACTTAAGAGATGTGGGTTCGATCTCTGGCTTAGGAAAATCCCCTGGAGGAAGACATGGCAACCCACTCCAGTATTCTTGCCTGGAGAATTCCATGGACAGAAGAGCCCAGCAGGCTACAGTTATAGGGTCACACAGAGTCAGACATGACTGAAGGAACTTAGCATGCACGCATGCACTCTGTTCAATTTGGGTCACCAGTGCCCAGAGTAGTTGCTGGTACATCAAAGGCACTAAGTGCAGTCTTGAATTAATGAGTGGATGATCACTTGGTTCTTGTTGGAACTTTGGGATACAGTGTGAGGACAACTTGCAGTAAGGTAGATAGACACCACACAGTATGGAGGTATTGCTGGCGGAAAGGGCTAGACAGGCCTACACAAAGGAAAGAGCATTTTATCTGGGCCTCAGAGAAAAAGCAGTTTCCAGGCAGAGAATGCAGGGATAGGTATTTCTAAGCAGAGGGAGTAACTTGGGAGGGGGTGATGGAGGAGTTCGCAGCACATTTAGGGTGTGGATGAATCATCCATGTGCAGGGACCCAAGGTTTATGGCTGGGGAGTTGCCAAAAATTAAGATGAAGATAGGTGGGGCCAGATTATGGATGCCTGGTGAAGGAGGAGACCTGGAGGAAACATCCAAGTATTTCAAGTAGGACCCAGATTTCAAGTCTGGGACCCTGAGATCAGCACTGGACCAACTGGGTTGTTACTAGGTCTTCTGCTCATCTCAGCTTCCTCTTGGATCTGCCTCTCACCCCTCCCACCCCCTGCCTTCTGTTTGGCACTGTCCTGGCATCAGCTTTGATGCTGTGGTTCCAAGGGTGGCCTAACCCCTGCTTCATCTTCCCTTACCAGCTCCTCTCCTTCACCAGTGATAATAAATAACTCAACTTGACCCAGCTTGGAGCAGGGCCAAGGAGTGGGAGTTGCCTGGGTATGCCTGGGTGGGTGGTGGGCACAGTTTACGAGAGAAGGGCCAGCAAAGATGAGTTGGATCATATTCTCTATTTAAGTAAAAAAACATTTGGAACATCTAATATATGTCAATGCAGTATTAGTGCTTGGGAGAGGAAGAAGATACAAGAGGTTTAGAAGACATGGCCCCTATGCTTTAAAGATGAAGAAACCAGGCATTATGAATAAAAGCCAATATCCACTGACTGCTTTCAATGGAATGACTAGAAAACGCTCCAAACAGCACTCAGGGAACCTTGGGTTGAAATAATGATGGGGTGTTCTGGCCCTGGGGATTTAAGAGTAAGAAATGGAAGCAGCTTCTGACAGACATGTTGGGATGCCAGGAATATATTCTTTGCCCCACCTGAAGTATTGTCTCTGAAATTCTTCCTCCTTCCTGGTGACCACGCCAAAGGCTTCATTCCACAGCCAGCCCATCATAGCTGTTATTATGCAAATTCCTGGGAGAGGCACACTTGAGGTCTTATCCACCATTGACATCTCAGTGAAATGAACTGACAGGTCCTGAGCCAGAAACTAGTAAACAGGTGATTAGAACACTGTTACCAGTGTGGTAACCTCTCATTCAGGTAGCACCAGGGAGCTGGGCTACTGGATGGTCCCATCCCAAGGGGTCAGGGAAGGATTTAAGGGAGGTAATGCATGCATGAGAGCCAGCCAAGTGAGGGGCAGGAGAAGCTGTGGGCAGACACAGGTTTGAAGGAAGTCCCGAGTGCAGCTGTGTGTGTTAGTGCATGCATCTATGCATATGTACTTACCTGTATGCACACGTGTATGGTGTGCATGTATACATGTGTGAACTTGTGTCTGCTTGTGTGCATATGTATGCTGTATACGTGTGTCGACAAAAAGTACCAGACATAGGTAGTGGCTTATGCTTAGAGGACTTTGTCTTTATTCTGAGAAGTTCTGAAGAGACTTTATACAAGAGGATGATGTGTTCAGGGTCTCCTATAACTTGTATGTCCAAAGTCACATGCACTGAAAAAAATATCACACTTCCTTCATGACCCAAATATTCACTTTGTGATTCCATGCCCACCCTAAAGCCACTGTATTACTATAGCCCCTGCAAAACAAATGCTGAAGATATCACACACTCCATAGGCTATATAATACATGGAAGTCTGGGGAAGACTAAACCCAAATTTAGGGAGGAAAAAGTAAAAGGGAAGAAGAAAACTCTAATGGAAACCAGATTTTCCTGAATACTACTGGGTCCACTCACCTGTGCATAGTGAAGCCAATTTACTGACACCAGGTTGTGGTGAAGGCAAGTGTAGTGTTTACTGCAGGTAGCCAGCAAGGAGTCCAGGTAACTAATGCTCAAAAGGCCCACTCTCAATGGTTTTCAGGGAAAGATTTTTAAAGACGGGGTGAGGGAGAGCATCCCAGAATCCTCCAACATTCTTCTGATCAGTTGGTGGTGAGATAACCAGGAATCAACATCATCAACCTTCTTGTTCCAACCAGTCTGGAGTCTATTGTGCTTGTAGGGAGCACGTACAGTTAACTTTTACCTGGTGAGGGTTTCAGTATCTGCAAAACAGCTCAAAGGACATGAGTCAGAATATTATCTATAGCCCTTAGTGAAGTGAAGTTGCTCAGTCATGTCTGATTCTTTGCAACCCCATGGACTATAGCCTACCAGGCTCCTCAGTAGATGGAATTTTCCAGGCAAGTGTACTGGAGTGGGTTGTCATTTCCTTCTCCCAGGGATCTTCCCTACCCAGGGATTGAACCTAGGTCTCCCACATTGCAGGCT